AAGCCGCAGCCGGTTAGCTTAGTTTAGCATGAAGACCGGGGAAAAACAGATCCTTTAAAACTCACAAACATACAGAAACGTAAGTGGGAAAATAACAATCCACTGTTGTGTGAAGGACTATTTCTTATAGCTGAGCAGTTGCTATCCAACTAGTGTCAACAACACTGGTAGGCTACAAGTTACTGGTCCAGCCAAACCATAATCCAGAACATAAAATTAAGCAAACAAGATTTAACATGTTAATTAGTGAGCTTTAGAGCTACTGATAGATTGATTTTATCCCCTTTTGGCAGAACCAGCTGTTTCCCCTTTATGTCCAGTCTGTATGCTAAAAGCTAAGCTAAGCTAACCAGCTACATACAGTATACAGTGCAATTTCCCAGCTTGGGATCAATAAAGTATATCTATCTATCTACCTATCTATCTATTTACTGCACAGCTTTGAGAGTGCTATCGACCTTTTTAACTAACTCTCAGCAAGATAGCAAATGAGCATATATTGTTTGCTGTTTTATGTGCCGTTCAGATGGGCAATCAGTGCAGAACCAAACTGTTTCCAGATGTTGGCAGGTTCCAGCCGACACTTTGGGGTCATCTAATTCCCAGGGCCGTTCCCCAGATTCTCTATGGAACCACCCAATGTGCGTATTCCTATGTTACCAGTATCATAGGTTCTGTAGTTGTAGGTGTTGGGGGTTACTTCAAAGGTTCTGCACTTACATGATCCCTCTAAATTTGTCCTCTCCGATCCGTAACATCATCCTCAAATTTCTGATCCTGAAACAACAGGCGAACGTTTCATTTGGAGTGCTGAGTGAGCGCTCTGATATCCCCAATCAGTGTCATCTCTGATAGGAATACTTGTCTCCCGAAGCCTCTCCTCACCACTCTCTGCTTGTTTTTATATTTATGTGGAGAGCCGTTTTAAAACTGCGGGACGAGCTCCAGTACGAGTCCCACAGGTGTACTTCCTCTGGGTCATCAGGAGTAACAGTATGTTTTCATGAGCCTGGTGCCTCATCGTGACTGCAGGATGAACAAGGCAATGTTTATCATGCTGGGCTTGATGTTTGTTGGCAAGGCTCCAACACCTCCACCAGTCCACCTTTTCAAGCATTTCAGGCAACAGTATTGATATCAGTCTGCATCATTTATCAAGCAGTATTTATTAAGAAAACATCTGAAAATATGCAACTAAATATCTCAGCTGAAAACACTGTTTTCATTTTTCACCAATACCTTTTGTGCAGGACTTGTTTCACTGTGCTCATGCGTGAGCTGATATCACACAAATCAGACCCCCACCAGCCAACAGTGTTAGATCGTGTCGTAGGGGCAATATGCGCCCGTGCTGCTCAACATATGTCCCTGTGGCTTCAGGTCTCATCCTGTGATGATGTGAAGAGCTCGCTGGTGGAAGCTGCTCGCGTCTCACCAGGCCACTGGTCCAAACGCACAGCTCCGCCAAGGAGCTGTTAGCATCAAATGTATGTGTGTGTGTGTGTGTGTGTGTGTGCAGCATGAGATGATGGAGTGTGTGTTTCAGATGACCGCCCGAGGTATGTCCCATCTGCTCAATGTAGCATTTACACCTCCTCCTGTTTGTCTGCGTGTTTGTGTGAGGAAAGTGTGAGCACAAAAGCTTAGTGTGCTTACTTTGAGCGCATGTGTGTGTGTGTGTGTGTATGCACCTCTACTCCCTGATCAAGCCATTCCTGCGGCCATAAATGCACACATTTCAATGTGCAAGCTGTCATACCTCATGCATTATCAACTAGTACACTTACATGGCATAATAAACCTCCCCCTGCTGCTTTTCACACCAACCAAAGCCTGCATGCTCGTTATTATCCCCCTCCATCAGATGAGAAAAATTAAATTGTGAGAAGCTCACGGTGAAGAGACTTCACATGTTTATGATGCCAAACAAGAGGTCACATTATAACTGGTTCTGGCTCGCTGACATTTTACATGCTACTGTGATTGTAATGATGCTCATCCAGGCTGTATACACATTTTGTGCACTCCTTTGAGATGTCTGAGCAGCAGGTTGAGGTGCAGAGGGATGAAGGCACCAGTGAGTCAAGCTCACACAAGATGTTTGGGGTTTTAGTGGAGTGCAGGGAGCTGTTTTACGTGCGTGTGTGTGTCCGAGTCATTGAATAATTGATGAGGGCGATGTGCAACAGCACATGTGCACGGGCTCCATCTGTGACCTCAGTTGATAAGGATCGCTGCCTTCCATGAAATCTTTAGCTTCCCTTCACTTTGTGGTGCCGGAAGTTCAAAGCAGGGGGAAGCCGGGGAGGAAGAGGCACATATGGATCGGTTTTTGTACAAGCCATATAGCATTTTGCATCTGAAAACACAAAACAAAGAGAGATTTCTGTAGTTGCAAAAGGAGGATGTGGCTTTGAGAAAGCCAGAAATTAGAGGAACAGAGTCTGCCAAAACAGATTTTGATGACAGAAATGCCTCCAAGCCATAGGTCACCAAGGTCATAGTTTCACCAGAAGAAGAAATTGGGACTGATTGTGGAAAATTGCATGAACCTCGTTTTGTATCGATATTGTAGATTAAGTCACAAATGACTGCCTGCCCTTTGCAAAGGATTTTAACTTTAAATCACTAGTTTAAAATCTTGCTCACGTTTCTTACTGAGAGTTAGATGAGAATATTGATACCGGAACTCTTCTTTTTATGAAACTATAGGTAAGAGACGTTTAGCTTAGCCTAGCATTAAGACTGTAAACGGGGAAGAAACAGCTAGCGTGGCTCCGTCTTAAGGTTATTTAGGGAGCTGGAGCTGGTGCTGGTAGGACAGAGCCAGGCTAGCTGTTTCCCTCTGTTGCCAGCCTTCATGCTAAGCTAAGCTAACTGTCTGCTGGTTGTAACTTTATATTTACTGTATATATACGAGAGTGGTATCAATCCACTTGTCTAACTCTTGACAAGCAAGTGAATGAATACATTTCCAAAAACTAATTCCTCTATCAAAGTGTGTACACACTCTCACTGTATGGGGTGATGGGAAGTCATTTGGGACCATTTCTGAAGGTTTTTTTGCCTTCTAAACTCACAGACAACCAAGCCATGTTTGAACTGAATGTTCTCTTTCTGCACATTTAAAACAAGGCCTGCTTCACCATATTACACACACACACACAGACAGTTGTCAGTCACACATTCAGTCTATACATGGGATTCTTTATGAACACAACACAGCACACAAAGCACTTGCAATATGTATGTTTCTGTCACAGTATATTCTGTTGCACCAATGATGTTTTCTTATATTCTTTTCCACGATGTACTCAAATGAATTCTATGAATATATGATGATTTTCTCAAAGAAGAATCAATACACACTGACTGTTAACTCCTGTACCAGTTTATTTTTTTCTTTCTTATCCGATCTCTGTGTGTAGAAACTGCCTTTGTTCTCGTTGTAAATGGTGTTTACTGACCAATTGCGTTCTGGTGCTGTTGTTGTTTGACTCTGTGTGCAGTTTAGACCTTCTCCAGAGTTATCTGTGTGACTGGAAGACTCTGGAGGCATCTGGTTATAACTGAATAAAGATTTTTTGGCAGCTGTTTGTTAGCCGCTGTCACTGTGTCATTTCTCATCTCTGCTGAGTTACTAGTTACTTTTCAGATGCAGATTTGACATACGAAACAGGTGTTTATTTTATTGTTAAATAGTTAATAGTAGCCTTACAAAAATCCAATAATGTAATAAAGAAAAATATATCACAGAAAGGTCATTCTGCTACATAATGAGTACTTTTATTTTGGCAGTCTAAGTACATTTAGCTGATAATACTTAAGATTATCAGTGCAGGACTTCTACACCATCATCCATCTTCCACTCAGTAATCATTCAGTAATCAATCAATCAATCAGTTATCTGAACACCGACCTCAACATTACCTCATGAAGGGAAAAAGCCTCAAAGCAAACTTAAGTGGACCATTATCTCGGCCCATAAGGATGTAATTTATCCTACTTTTGTACTTTTATTTATTTAATAAAAGTACACAAATCTGGTTGAAAAGTAGGAATTTTCCTTTCAAAATTACACTTCAAGAGGATTTACATGAATAAGGTTCTCAATTTTAGTTTATTGATTAATTTCCACCCTTCTCTTGGAACAGGATGTTTTTCTTCACTGCTTAGAAACAAAATACTTCAAAAAACTTACTGGACGAGGAGTAATTTCCCTGCCAAATATAAACCACATTATTACAGTGAAATTTAAATTTGTACTTCTGCTTTTGCCACCACTTTAAACAGGACGTTGGCATTCCCCCTACAGGCTTAACTCACTCTCCTTTTATAGTATGACATTAAAGCGCCTAAATCAAATCTTTGATGTTTCTCTATTAACATTATTTAATGACCAAATAAGTAAAGAGTTTCTTAAAAACACACTCAACTATCATGAACTTTAGATTTAAATCCTAAAGACATCACCTTTTCCCAGTCCCGTCCACTTTAGACCAGTAAGAGGAGCAAAGACACAAACATTTATCTTATATTTATGCTGATAGTAAGAAGCAGATTAAAAACATTTCGGGACTCTCATGTCCTCAGTATCCTCCTGGATCTTTTACGGGGAGAGCTACTGACTCTAACAGGCAGCAGTTAGAAATATGTGTCAGTCTTGTCTCCTGGTCAATCTGGTCTTGTCTGGATTGAGGAAAATAAAGCCATTCGGAGTTGCTTCTGTTCTTGGCTGCCCTCTTGTGTTCAAAAAAGGTACTGCGGGCGAATACGGCCTTTGTTTTGCCCTCAGTCAGTTTCAGTTTTAACCAAAGACATGCAGCTTCTTTTGTCTTCTGTTGTTAATTCAAATGTGTTTTCCCACATTAGACACACTGACACATTAAAAGTGTCACATCCTTCCAACACAGCGGTACGTTACACTTAAAGGAACTCCCCTCTCAGTCAAACAGGATTCCCACTTTCACCCCCTTGTTACATAAAGATCCACAATCAGGTTACTCCAGAGGTATTTTTTATTATGATTAACATTTTTTATTTCACTTCAGAGGTATTTTTAGTACATTTCTTCACTCCATGGTTCCAATTAAAGAACAAACAAATCCTGTGTGTGTTGTGTGTATGACTAAATACAAATAAAACCCTAGTGTCTGAGATAAAAGGCTGTAATGAATTCTCTCAGTGAACCAGGTCATGGCTGGAAAGTGATGTTACATGAGGACGTGAGATACTGTAGTACCGTTAAAAATCCATTACACTGATGTTCAGCCAGTCGTCCACCAGCAGGGGAAGACTTGTACCAGGCCGGTCCTGCTCAAACACAGGACAAGTGTTTTAAGTCCTTGTGTCCTCCATTTGTGTACCAGAGGAAACTTTGACTGTGTTCAGATTGCCTCTGTTTGCCCTTCGAGTTTTATTTAACTTTCATCAGTAGCCCTGTGTATATTTGTCACCTAGAAAAAGCATCTGGTGAGAGTAACTGTTCAGTAGTTTAATAGTTTCTAGGATGTAATCACATGAAGTGGTGTGAGATTGTAAGGCCAACCCAAGAGATTGGTCCTGTGATTGAAGATGTAACGCTGATGTTGAACGTTTAGAAAAGGTGTTGGTCTGTATGAAAGCAGCATTTTAAGCAAATACTGTATATATATAATTCTGCAGTTTGCCAAGAAGCTATCAAAAGAGGCAGATTTTGATCGGTTTGTGCAACTTCCTAGAAACTAATCAAAACAAAAAAAAAGGTTAAGAGTAACACTAAATCTACAGACACGCGAGCAGCTCTGCGAGGCTGTACATGCTGATGCTGATTAACCTAGTAAGCAGGTATAGTCTTTATATTATAGTCTTTAGCCCATTAGCTAACATCATTTACTAATAATTAGCATTAAAAAACAAAGTACAGCTGGGACTGGGAACATTAGCTCTCCAACTATTTAGTCTTAAACCATAGAATCAAACAAATTGTGATATATACCCGATGATGGCGCTAGAATGAAAGGTTACGGGATCCCCAAAGTTATTACAATTCAGCTGCAGGGCAGGGGGGACATGAATGTTAGTACCAAATATCAGGGCAATCCTCCAATAGTTGTTATGATATTTCAGTCTGGACCAAAGTAGTGTACCAACCAACCAACCTATATTGCCATGTACACAGCACATTATAGGTAACGTAAACCTTCTCTCTTACATGATTATCCTGTATCAATGTACAAAATAACATCCAGCGGAGTCTCATGCTTTTATCTATATAACAGAAGGGGGTGGAGGCTAGGTGTTAGCTCCCATTCAGAAACAATGGACAAGTGTTTAAATATTGACTCTGGTGCTGAAAGAGACACATTTATTTCACTCTCACCTCGTGTCAAGGCTGAACATTGTGTGTTTGCTTTGCCTCTGTTCTGCTGATCTTGGCCATTTTCCTGTAGCTATCAAAGCATGGAGATCCTTTTCTGACAGACTCTTAACAATGGAAAAAGGAATGATTCTTATTCTGGAGTGTGTGTTTTGAAATACCAGCTTTTGTGTGAGTGGCTGCAGTCGTGACACACTGTTTCAGTAAATCAGTATTGTGGGTTGAATTATACAAAGTGTTGTACCTATATGACACAAAAAGGCATACATTCATATTCTGAACACTATTTTATGATTGTGCGGTGTCCTAAAATTAATATAATGAAGAAAACGGAAATCAAGCTTGGTCCCAAAATGGAAACCAATAGTAAACCAAGAATGGCCCCAAAATGGAGGCAGACAAAACAAGAGCTTATAATAATAACTCCAACATACTATAATAAGAGCCATGCAGAAGCAATAAGCCAACAATTGCCTGGTTCACATACAAAGAATAAAGTTTTTAAGTGTAAATCCTTCTCTAAATCAACTTCCTAATTGTAAATCTTTCTCTATTTGTGCAATTTTATACACTCAAACAAATATAAAATGTAACACAGTGTTAATTTTTATAAAGAAAAAATAGGAGCATGTTTGGCATCTGAGCTTTGCTGGTTAGACAAAGGCAGAAAAATAAGGAGTGCAGGAGGTAAAGGAAAGCCATACAACAAGGCGGGGGGCGGAGGGGGAGGTTTCTCCCACAGCGAGCCAGAATAGACTCAAAAAATATACGACCGGCACGAGACCACATGTCTGCACCCATCCTATGCTTTCAGTTTCCACACTGGTTAACAAGTGAGCGCACGTGTCAGACAAAAGGACCAGACAATTAGATTACACGGAAGGCTCGGGTAAGTCATTTGTTTCCAATAAAGGGAGACTGGCACACAAAAGTTTAGAGGGCGAGGGTTGACGGCTCAGGGGCTAAAAGGTCAAGTGAGGAGGGGCGGCGAGGAGGTCAGGGGAGGTCAGGCAGGTCTCAGTTCATTGGCGTCTCCTGGGCAGGCAAGCCTTCAGGCTGATCGAGCAAAGACTCGGTGGTGGGACTGCTGCTGTCCTCGTCGTCGGGGTTAGTGGTGGACGCTGATGGAGTCATCTTGGTCTAAAGAGAATAAGGGAGGAAGAATAATGAAATGATGGACTCCCATAACCCAAGTTAACATGTGATATATATGTATACAAAAAACAAGAAGAAAAAAAAGAAAAAATAAATCTAAATCTGTGCTGAAATATTTTAAACTCAAGGTTCACTTAGTAGATTTTTCTAGAACTAAAATGTTGACTGAAAAAATTACAATTTAGCCTGTAAATTAATCTCTTTAAAGTGGAACTATGAAAGACGAAATAACACAATCTTCCTCTTCTAAATGCAACGTTGAATTCATAAGCAATGAAACGCAACCTCACAACATTCAATACACAGAGGGAATCTGCTGCCACAGCCTTACTTGCTTTGGTATAATCATTAACTCATGGTGGCTAATGTTAGCTAACTGTAGATAACACTGTAGAACTTTTATTTACTTTACTTTTATTTTTTGGGGATTGTTGTGGCCTAAAATCCCTGATTTATTGCAGCTTTTTTATTTTTAAATTGCGATGCATATTGTAATGTTAATTTGTTTGCAATGAATTTGTGGGAGAAAAAAAAAAAAACAGTTACAGTTGTGGTATAATTCGTTAAAAATCAATAGCAACTTGTTCCAGTGAGAAGAAAATCACTAGCAGTTTGGTGACG